TTTTTTTATATTAATATATATATATATATATATATATATATATATATATATATGTTTGTTTGTTTGTTTGTTTGTTTGAGCTTGAGTCAGATTTGCCAAGATACTTTAGCAAGTCATTCAAAAGTCTTAGATCTAAAAAAAAATATATGTTTTAAGACCAAATAATCTAAGCTGCTATTTACATCTATTTATAGCACTGTACTCTTACTGTATACTAACAATTGTCTCATTTATGTCTATTTTAATATCTGAGACAAGGGTGCTAGATGAAACATAATTGTCTCTGGAACTATAAGAGTAGTCTCTGATCAATATAATTTTATTCTGAGTTGGCCGTCTTGCTTTCTCTCTTCAGCCATGGAATAACCTTTATTGGTGGACCACAAGTCAAAACGTATGACCATGGACAGCTTCTTGCTTCGTTTTACTATTTACATAGGCCACACTACTGAAATTTTACATGTCAATGAGCTGTATGACTTTTTTTTCATCCACTTTTTAGACCAGCAATCAGACAAGCAACTATTTTTGTTGTTTTGTTGTTTATTTTTTTATTATTTTCTTGACTTGAAAATCACTAAAATGAACTAATTGAAAAAAGGCCAAATTTTGCATTCACAATGTACCTTACCTTCACAGTGGACTTAAAGTGAAATCCACTTTTTAATTCAGCTTTCAGTCCGCACACAGTTCTTTTTGTTACATGCATGTATTATTTCATTAAATCACACCCCCTTTGAGGTTTAATTATTGCACTTGGCCAATTGTGATTTCAATTTTATTTCAATTGGCTCCAGTACATCCTGCCTCTGTGTGTGACGGAAAAATATGTTTCAAAAGGACAACAGTCCTCTTCATAATCCCTGCCACAACGGGCCGCTTTTCACTCTTAATTCAGAATATTTATGAAGGAATGAACCATAAGTTGTGAATAAGAGGGTCTGGAGTTGGTTGTTTGGGGTCTGTGTGCGTTGGTTTGTGACTGACAGACTCTCGCTGTCTGAGATCATGACTGACACTGACCCCCCTCGAAACTCTCAGTCCCACCACAAAATTTCTTTCTTCCCCTCTCTCTCGCTGTCTTTATCTCCGACAAACACACAGTCTTTCTCTCTCTGTTCTCCCCCTTTTCGCTCTCTTGTGTTTTCTTTGTGTCTGTCTTACACACATGCACTTTCTTTATCTTTCCTTCGCACTCTCCCTCTGGTCTCTGCAGCTGTGACCCGGTGCCCCTTCCGCTCCGTCATTCTCAGCGCTGCTGTCAGAAAGCTCGCAGGAGGCCCGACAGAGATGTCAGGAAACAGATTCTGCCCGGAGCGCTGCCGAACCAACCACAATCGGCCACGATGGTCATCTCGCGATCCCGGCCAAGATGGAGTTCATAGTCCTCCCAAGCATTCACGACCAACGCGGTTCAATTCGGTCACAGCCAAGACATGGACAAAACCAACACGACCACCGCAGAGACCTCATTGCGGCCAAGACACATTTAGCGATTGAACATTTCAGCAGTTGAGATCGACCCAAACGAGACCTCCCAAACCCAGACACAGCCAAATAATCAGTTCAGCCACAGCCAAACCCAGACACGACCATTGAACATCACTGGGGGAATCTGAAACCACCCACGACTGCTATCTGTATACAGCATCAACAGCTGGTCACAGACACACCAGAGGACCAGCAGAACCGGGCCAAACAGACCTCAGATGCTTTCTGCACCATGAGAACCCTGACAGGATCACATTCAGGACTCTTTCTGAACACACACCAGAGATGTGCAATTTCTATGCCACTAGCAGTGTTACTGTAGTTTTATTTGTACAGTATTTATCAATATTTTGAATTAGCTTTTATTTTTTTATATTTTCTGTTTTCAATTTAATGTTAAGAATATTGTTATATGCTTTTTTTCTTATATATATATATATAGATTTGTTGTGCATTGCTATGTGGTTGCTAGATGCTGCATACTGGTCAAGGTCAAAATTTTATAATTTCTCCCTTTTGAAGATCATAATTACAATGTCCAAAAGCTGTACAGTTTAAGTATTTTTAAATACTTAAAGGGGTCATATGATGCTGCTAAAAATAACATTATTTTGTGTATTTGGTGTAATGAAATGTGTTTATGCGGTTTAAAGTAAAAAAAACACATTATTTTCCACATACTGTACATTATTGTTTCTCCTCTATGCCCCGCCTTTCTGAAACGCGTAGATTTTTACAAAACTCATCGGTCTGAAAAAGCGAGGTGTGCTGTGATTGGCCAGCTATTCAATGCGTTGTGATTGGCCGAATACCTCAAGCGTGTGACGGAAATGTTACGCCCCTCACATACTGTTGATGCCGTGTCCCGGCCGGAGCGACGAGACATAAACATTAAAACCCATTACAAACGAGGCATTTGTTGCATCCAGTGGGGACATAATTACTGATTATAATGACTTATACTGTCTTTTTACGCATTGCATTTGCATCGCGCCGCGTAAACATAAAACT